GACTTTTGGCGGGACTCGATCTTATGATTTTGGAGTACAACCAACCTGAGCCACGCTGAGCTTACACACTTTCACTTCATCTGTCGATTCTATCGATGGGAATGGCTTAGTCAGTCAGAAGCCAAGCAAAGAGCCTTGCAAAAAGTTGCTTCTTTTCCAGGGATTCGGAGAATGAACCTCTAGGTAACGTTCACTGGAAAAAAAAAACACATTGGATCTAGATTCCAGACTCTTGAAAACATTGACAAGAAGAAGGACTCTTGATTCAATCAGATTTAAGCTTAAATCAAAAGGAAATCCGCTCAAATTAAGAAGCTTGGTTCTTGATTTAAGCCAAAATCGGATTGAATCAAGAGTATATTTTCTTGTCGATGTTTTTAAGAGTCTGGACTCTTGATCCAATGTGATTTTTTCCAGTGTTAAGAACGAAGCATCGCAGAACTAGAGATTTCATTGAAATTTTTCGCAAAACACAATGAGCATACTTATAATATTTAGCTCAAGATTTTGCTTTTGGTGATACGGAAATCCGATGAATTTTAAATGTCAAAAAAAATAACATCTTGAGCACAAATCCAAGCATTTTTAAATGCTAAATGAAATATAATTTGCAATACTGTATCACCAAAAACATTTTTAATCACTGGTGGCGGTAACTACCTTCCGGACAAAGTCCAAACAGAGCAGCAATGGATTCAGGCTGAAGCTTCAACTAGGGACTTGTATCATCAATCATCATAAGGTTTCATTTTGGCCACGTTTCAAAAAAGTTTCCAGGTTTCCCGGCGAGGGGCAATGGGAGTCTCATTTTTGAATGGATCATTATTCGCATCCATACATTTACACACCAAAAAAAAAACTGGAAACTCAAAAACTTCAAGAATTGGTAGTTTTCTTTTTTATGCACGAAGACTTATACCAATAATCGGAAACTTTGTATGAAGGTTTAACACTAATCACTACTTTTCTTTTTTAAAAAAAATCTTTAGTTATGACCTTAAAATCTCAGTTTCCAGTTCCTACGAAGCTTTGGAGAAACTTTTTCTTTAAAGAACTCACAATAATTATTTGAATATCGACGGTGAAACTACCAAACCACGTATCTCGGTTTGCGACGTCGCAGACTTCCTGTCATACTTTATTTTTTAAATGAAAAACTACTTAACATCCAGTCTTGAAAATTTCTGTGATTTTTCCTCTTTGTGCGGAGAAAATTCCGTAAAAATTTCAAGGAATGATATTGATTTGGTCTACTTCAAAAAAATAAAATGTGAGCGTAGATTTTTAAGCACCGCAAACGAGATACGTGGTTTGGTAGTTTCATCGTCGATATGCTCTGATTCGACCTTATGCTACACTACTTTTTGCAGAATAGCACATTATGGACAATTCGCAAACTCAGATTACGCAGTAAACAGGTAGCTTTCTCTTGTATTAGAAAACAAAAGTTGATTTCACGTCGCTGGATCAGATCCAATCTTCGCGTGAGCGTACACGTCAGTCCGTCCCCCATAAAATCAATTGAATTTCCACTGGATTCGACTGACTTTCCTTGAGAGTCACAAACCAAGAGTTTAAATCCACGTTGAAGATGTAATGACAAAATGTAAACGTAGCGTATTTATCTCCAGACTCCAAAGTATGTATTTGAAAATTTTGCAATTTTGGTGATAAACTGTAAAATAATGCATACACTCAAAAAACAAGTATGGGAAAAGTGACTTACCGGCCGAGTTATGGATCATGGAGTATTCATGGAGCCATAAAAAATAGTTCGTGGAGCCATGCTCATAGGTTCACGACCAATAAAGTATGGCTCAGAAAGCCATACTGTAGACGGTAAGTCACTTTGGTTAGAAATTATGGATCTCCGAGCCATTTTTATGGGTCTTAGAGTCATACCTTTTTTTCAGTGTACTCAAACCAATCGCTTTTTTGTTTTTTCTCGGAAGACCGAGGAATATTTGCATTTGACTGAATGGGTTAGCTGCGCTAGTCACAGAATCGTGTTTTGATGCTTAAATCTTGTAGATCAGCAAAAAATAATAAGATCCATCCAAACAGCAATTCTCAAAGTTCAATAAGAACCGAGATATCGCAGTTTGAAAAAGTAAGTTTATGACGTCATCCACCACGGTAGTGACACCCTTGGTATCCTCGACCTTGCTTTCATGTGAGGAACAGGAGTAACACGTTGAGTAGCCAGAACGAATAAGTGTTCCCCTGACTGATAAAAGCAAGGTGGAAGCAACCTAGGGTGTCTCTACAGCAGCGGTAAATGACGTTATAAACCGAATTTTTCAAATCGCGATATTTCGGTTCATATTGAACTTTGAAAGTTGCTGTTAGGACAGATCTTATTATTCTTAGCTGATCTGAAAAAATCAAGCATCAAAACACGATTTTCTGACCAGCGCAAGTGACCCATTGAATCTGATGTAACATGCAAAATGTTACTTTTTTGCTAGTTGTTTTAGTCTGCGTACATTTGTACCGTCTTATGTATCTTTTGATCAGAAAATGGTAAAATAGTGTTGGGTCCGCACCATTTTACAGGAAAAGCAAGACCAGAAAGTTCAAAATTTCAATCAGAGTAAAGGGGTTTGAGCTGTGATGAGTATACAAGACTAAGGGAGGGGAGTGTTCAGCTAAAGCAGATACATTGTTTTCTAGCATTGTGCTTTCGGCGCAAAATAGCGTGGACCCAGCACTGTTTCACTATTTTGTCACATACAGTTTCATACAGTTCGGGTCATAGTTTTAGCGTTATTTTCATTTGAGATAACATGTTATCGGGTTTTGACTTTTAACCTGACCAGTTATCGATTGACGGTTTTTTGCAGCGACTGAAACGCAGCATCAAGAAAGTGAGCCGTAGATGTATGACAGCCCGTAGTTTATGGATGGCCTGATTCATTAATTGCAAAAACATACTATTGTATACCTATTATCTGCATAAGCTTCCTCAGCCTTACTACTTCCTATTGCTTGATAAAAGAAAAGAAAAAACTTTCCACTCGAAAATATTCAGAGGATCCGTATTCAGATTTCGAGAGTCGGCATAGCTTTCTGTTGTGGTGTGGGTCCTAATTTTAATTACCGATTTTTACAGTTAGGCCGATTCGGTTGACCCTAACCTTCATACCTCAAACGGATCCACGCCGGCCGCTGCCCCGCCATGAATATCAATCGATCGATCGGCAATAATCCATGATGCCTATTATAATCCTTATCTATCGGCTCAAATATGTGCTTCACAGCTATCGCTATGAGCACGAGATGACCCGTTTCACTTTTTCGATCCCACTTTCTGAAGTCAGCTCTTGGGTGTGGGTGACAGTTCTGCCGTGCTTAGGAAAAACTCATGTATTTCTCACTTCAATACTGCTGCGGCGGCCGCGTTGGCTCCTGACCGGGGAACTTCCCAGAAAAGCGATAAAAAAACAATTTAAAAAGCGGGTGACAAGGCTGAAATTTCACATACACAAAACCAAAACGTTTCGGCTGAAAATTCAGCCATCCTCAGTTGGGTAAAAATAAAACTGGTTAAAAATCTAAAATAGTACCTGATAAGTACCTGATTTTATTTTGATTTATCCAACTGAGGATGCCTGAATTTTCAGCCGAAACGTTTTGGTTTTGTGTATGTGAAATTTTAGCCTTGTTACCTACCCGTTTTTTAAATTGTTTTTTTATTGTATATCTTGGCCCAAAAAAGCGCAGCATGACAGAAATAGAAGGAGAAGACTGCCGTGCTAAGGAAAAACGCCGTATGAACTTTCAGGCGTTCCCAAATTTCCTTTGATAAAACGCGAATTTCCTGGTGAACTTATGAATGTTTTCCTCCCAATTTTTCAGATAATTGTGTTCGCAATTCCACCTAAAGATTCTGAAAATTTAAGGGCAAAATACTCATAATTTTCCTCCAAAATAAACATTCTATCGAGGGAAATTGGGCAACTCTCGAATGTTCATACGGCGTTTTTCCTTAGCACGGCAGAGTTGACATTCAACTGTAACAGAAAAGTAATTTAAATGCTCTTTATTTGACGCTCAAACAAATGCGGCTACTTTGGACAAATGCCGTTTTTTGGTGACATGAACCCAATAAAAAATTGTAATCTACTTTTAAGTAATTGAAATTCAAAATCTGATTATATTATCTATTGACTGAAGTCTGACTGCCAAGCTCCATGCATAGTAAAAAAAGTGTAAATTAAACTGAATATTTTCCCAAATTGGAAAGAGTTCTACGTTTGTCGAAAACATGTCTTGGTTAGCCATCAGTATGTTACGAAAATATAAGAGAATTAGATTCAGATTTGCGGAATACCTTTTGTGTCACAAATAGAGACATAACATAACACGTTAATTATGCGCCCCAAACATAAGTTTGACTTACTTCCATTTTTCATCAATCTCTATCTACTTGAACGAGTCTAACTATGGGTTTTGAAGGTTGATACTTTCCAAATTTTGTGAAAATATATAAACTGACCTAAAAACTGTACCAATGCCCTTTATTGGAGCCGCATCATTCTGGAAAAAATTGTGATGTCTACTTTTTTACCATGAATAACATATTTTTTCCCCTATGCGCCTTATCAGTGATGCGCGCAAAACTGACCCAGCATTATTGCTATGTAAACAAAGATATCGGGTGCACCAAATCGGTGGATGGAGCTCTACCCAATGTGTATTTCAAATACGATATTCATGATCATTCATAAAGCTGAAACGAAGAATTTGAGCTATAATTTTTTATCATCAGCTAACCACAGCCCATCAGGCACAATCGCCAAAATGAGATGTTTTAATGAGTGCAAATGATTTTTTGAATATATTCTTATTAATTTAACGTTTTCAATGTGTAATGTAACTTTTGGTTGTATTCTAATTTTATTGACAACGATGGCTTAAACCGAAGAATAATCTAAATTAAAGTTTCCATTGTGAGTCATTGGAAATTGAGGAATATTTTGTACTTTCCAAAATTGCAATGGCATTTCAAAACGAATTTAGAAAAGCTAAAAAATTTACTTGCGTGTTTTTCATCATGTTTTTCTTGTGAAAAACGAACGTACGCAAGTTGCGTATGAGTTGACACACTGAAGGTTGAATATGATTTACCTTGGAGTGCATGCACAAAGCAGGGCTATCTTTGGTCAAGGCCCAAGCTATCTTTGGTCAAGGCCATGAATGATGTATCAAAAAAGGTTACTAAAAATTTCATTAAAAATTCTACGATGATACCGTAAGTCCTTGTTTAGTATTTAGAGGAGCTTAATCACTAAAAAGCTCAAAGTCCAGTGCAAAAACACTGTCACGTAATTTGACATCGTTCTCCGTCTTTTATTCCTTTCTTCCTCCTTCTCCCAACAACTCAATTTGTAAAAAGACAAGGATCCGATGCAAAATTTCTGACAACAGCTGAGTGCTAAGAGGATTTTTTTTAAATGTTTGTTTATTTTGCTTTCAAAATATCTGCATTTGTCCTTGAGTCTTGGTTTGACCTTGAAAACAGAAACTTTTGAATAGCTATAGTGTTTGTTGAATGTGTGTGAACGATGCGGAATATGAGATATAAGAGAATTTAATTACATACATGCATCAAGGTATATTTGTTATGTATGTATGTATGTATGTATGTATTTGAGACCTTTTTCTTTCGATACTTTTGAATGCTCCACATCAAAGGAAGGATATATTCCATTTTTATAGTTTTTGAATTTTTTTTCCTTTACTAATATAAGACTTTAAATCTAGAATTGAAAATATTATGTTCCTTTAAATTTGTTCCAGGTTTTTCATTTTATTTTCTTCTATCAGTTTTTCATTATTTCATTTATTTTTTGGCGCCAAACTTTGTCAGCTTTTCTCTCGCACCCAATTAAAATAATTAAAGCCTATTTCTAATGCACGAATGGAAAAAGAACATTATTTGCTTGGGGACATTTTCAGCTCCTGAAATTAGGTAAAAATGGCTGTCATTAAAATTCTCTAAAGTCTTCAAATTGGTAGATTTCATAATTACCGAAAACCTGAAAAATATTTCAGGGAGGGATACATTTAATCACCTCGAAATTTTACTTGATTGTGCAAATCTTTTATGTTTTAAAAGAGGAAACATTTTCAATAGAAATTATTTTGCAGCAAACTCTCATCAAATGAAAAAAAGAATATCTTGGACATCTTACGCACCACAGAAGGTGTCCATTTTGTTACCAATATCTCGCGTGGATCACAATGGATTCATTGAATTAATCCAATTTTAACTGATAAGTAGATTTTACCGTTCATTGCATTTATTAGTTTAAATTTTGAACCGCTAAACATTCAAAGTATAATTTAGTTGAAATTTTTACGGAATAAATTTTGAACTGAGATAAACTTTTTGCCATAAATCATAAAATTCCATTGTGCTGAATTAATCTTGATAAATTTAGAGGCACTGTTGAAACACTGCCGGTGTTCGAAGAAAGAAGAATATTTTTTTGAGACCAAACTCTAGTTATTCGCTGGACGTACTAGTTCGTTATCAGTAACCGCTTCAAGCTACATTGATTTTTTTTTCCCCCGTAATCTGGATGTTACATCAATGGCGCACTACCAAGTTGGTTTTGGATATTTAAAACAAGTTTAATTCAGTTTTTGAAAGAACCTTTTCATGTTACTTCAATTCTTATCACCACTAGTTGTTCATTCTCAAATCAAATGGACCATGAATTAATATTTTATGAGCACTTTGAATAAAAGAAAAAAATATTTGCAGAAATGACGAATTTTACAAATTTTAAATTTTATTGCAATAAATTAATGTACAATAATATTACAGGACAAGTAAATAACACAGAATGTCGCCGGTCTTTGGTCAGGAATTGTCGAGCCGTCGGTGGCGTCGCGTCGATACGGTGAGTCGAAGAAACAAGAGGAAATAAATTAAATGTCTTTGTACAAAGTTTTGGTAAAATCAGTCACAGGGCCCAATGTGGGTACAAATCTTCCTATCCCGCCGTTTAGGAGGTTCTGAAACAAACAAAACACACAGAATACATAAAAATCTTATTCAAAACCTTACATTGAAATACTTTCACTCCGGTGTTAGGGCAGCTGTTTCAGAGGTGGGTTCAGTAAGATTTCTTCACTTTTTCAATGGGTATTAAGCTGGTCTCCAATGGTTTTTTCTTCAACTTGCAAGAGAAGGGATTGGTTTGATCAGCAGAGTTGTATTTTATCAAGCAAAGAAGAGAGAGAGTTCAGACAATTGTAGCACATTCTCTTGAATTTACTAAAATTGCTTAATACAAGAAAATTACATTTTTAGGCCCTTTGGAAAGGGTGCAGGCCCTGTGCTTGAATTTTGAGAAAAAACGAAAAGAAAAAAAATTTCAATGAGCTTGAATACCAGGTTTAAACACCTTTAAATTTCCCGTTGTTTAGCTACCTTTCCCCCATAAAAAACCCGTATTGTAATTAGGACCCCGCCATTTCAGACGCCGCGCGATGACAGTGTTTTTAATATCTTACACCTTCTTCTTTTCTTTTAAAATACCTAATGCATGTACAGAATTAAAATTTACACAATTATTTTCATTTAGAATCAATAAGATCTTGGTGGGAGGAAGAAACTAAGTGCTATTCTGGAGAAGGTTTTAGATAATTATGAGGAGGCAACATTTTTACAACACTGTAATCGCGCTGGTTCCTATTAACTAAATGCGCTCTATTTATGGACGACCCTTTACATCATACTTGAACACTCCTGAAATGAAGTTGACTTACATCTCCTACGCGAGAGAGCGTTGTAGGCGTTGAAAGCTAGATCCTGAGCATCCGGGGAGGAAGCATCAGCTGCGGTCAGGGGTTGTTCGAGTTCCTCTGGGGTGAGGAAGAGATTCCGGGCGGCAGCGTAGTGGTCAGCCCACGGGTGGGCGGTCAGCTGAGGGATGGCGTTGTCGGCAGCGATCTTCTTACACAACTGGAAGATGGCCAGCGCCACGGACACGACGAAGGAGAAGAAGGACAGCTGAAGGGCGTTCCACGCCTTCAGACCCAGGACTCCGATCGCCAGAGGGATGAGGGTGAGAGCCTTCAGAAGGATGAAGACAAGGATTGGGATCAGGATTTTCTTCAGCTTGCTCTTCCGCCCTGCGAATACAAAAGATTTTGTAACATTGAAAAGGGTTTGAGGTTAGTTGTTTCCAAAATTTGCACAATGCCGCACAGTACCACAAACGTAGAAAAGGTCGGACATGATATTCTTGACTAACATTTCAAATTTTAATGTTTATTCCGTCTTAGATTAAATTCCAATGGACACTTCTGAGGGGTACTTCTAATTTTCTTCAGCTTGCTCTTCCACCCTACGAAATATAAAATTTTGTAACTTTGTAAAGCGCTTGGAATTAGTAGTTTTCAAAGTTTACACAACGCCGCACAATGGAACAAATTTAGAAGAGGTCCGACATGAAATTGTTGGCTATTTCTATTTTTCATGTTTATTCTGTCACAATTTCAATTTCAAGGGGCTTTTTTGAAGGTAAATTTCACGAAAAAGCCAATGGAACCACTTTTAAACATTTTTGTTTCATATTTTCGAAAATAAAAGTTTTCAAAGTTGTCAAATGTTGTACCACTTCTCCTATCAACTCGGTCCAGTGTGCGCCGGCGAGCGATGACTCCAATTTTCTCAAAGTCGCGATTTATCATTCTCTAAAATTGGAATTATCTCAGAAGGGTTAGTTTTTTCCAACTTAAAGATCATGAAAGGACATAAATGGAGAATCTCTTAATTGTGATGAAATTTTTTTCGTTTTTTCACGAATTGCTCTTGATCCTACAAGACAGGGGTGTATTGCGTTTTATGAACTTTGTTCTATGACGAGAGGACGATATATTAATTTTCGAAGAAAGACACCATTATATGGAATACATTTTTGCCCATGAATTGCCTTCGCCTAACTAACTACTGCTGCCTTTTGTTATAGCCATATTAGAATTACTTTCATTCTGGAAAGAATTTGTGTTAAGAATCAAAATTTGAGTATCCATCTATGTTTAAACTAGATCAATGTGCCAAAAATTTAAAACACATTGATGATTTTCATGCCTTCACGCTAAAAACGAACAAACGATTAAAATTTGTGAGGCTGCAAAGTCTAGTTTTAAATTTTAGGCACACCTGACGAAGTTTTAGAGCTGATTCTACGGGTAAGAGTTCTCTTCAGACGGCTCAACTGAACCGTTAATAGAGCTAAAATGTCGCAGCCGAATTTATGAGTCACCTCTATCTAAATTTATCGAATAATATTGCAATGAAATTTACTTGTGGAACTGCCTGTTCCCTAGCCTTTAATGTTCATCTCTACCGTGCGAAGAAAAAACGCGTGCAAAGAATGAATAGCCAAATATTGCCGAATTTCTCCACGCTACAAATTCACTTACGAGAAACGTTATGAGAATTCCTCCGTGAAATTTTTAGAGACCTTCAATCAAATTATTGTTAAAATATTTCAGAACAATTAGAAGGAAAATACATCACAATTTTTCAGAAAATTTAGGTTATATTGAATGAAATTTCACAACATCTAAAGGCTCACACGACGTTTATCATGGGCATAGCAGATCTGGACTGCATTTTGCAATAAGGAACTACTATTTCTGGCTAAGTTTAGAAGCAACGTATTTAAGTATCATTGGGTTCCCTATGCATAGAGTTGTGTTTACAGATGATCCAGAAATTTTAGTTCCTAATTTCAAAATAAAGTCCGTCTAGACTCTATCATTTTGCACATTATCATTTGCTTGATCTTCTCGAAACTGGTTTTTCTTTTTCCAAAATAAAGAAAAAAGAAACAAAATTATAAAAACGTTTAGTTATTTGCTTAGTAACCAGTTAAGAAATAAAATCCTAGGAACTATAGTAAATATTACTAAGAAAAAGTGAAGGAAGTTCGAACTGACGTTTAATAATACCTCGGTCGGTTCCCAAGGCTGAGTTTTCCTCCGACGGGAGTTTCACGCTGAGGTTCAACTCGTCCTTGTCCAGATTCCTCGGTGAGAAGGTGAGCACCGTTCCCTTGAAGAGCGAGCCAGGAACTTGCACCTCTACATCGTGATTCTGGATGTAGCTTTCGATTTGGTCGCTGAAGCCTCGGGACTCAGTCTCGGATGTGCTGTCACTTCCGCTGTTCTTCACAATTTTAATGTCATCACCCACCTAATAAGACAGATCAGTGATGTTTTACTCAGAGCATCCGTTTGTGTAATTGCAATGTAACCATTTAACTGAATGAGCTTTTTTTAAAAAAAAAATATCGCAAGTTCGTAGTTCACATGAATTGCATTTTGCAAAAAGGAACCACGAGCATTGCAATGTTGCTAAGATTGTGCAACTTCTTTTGTCTTGGAGGAAAAACCTGATTATCTATTAATAGTTTCTATTTTACTGGCTAAAAACTGTAAATTTAAGACAAAATTTACCATCTAAATTTTGCACTTTTTCACGATTTCCGTAATTTTATTGCAAAGATTAAAATTGCACAATCTTGGCATCATTGCAATGCTTCTGGTTCCTTTATGCAAAATGTAATCCACATATCGATGGCAAAAATGCGAAATCACGTATGTCCATCGCGGTGCTCGAAACGCCGTTCTTTATTTGATTTAATGAAGAAGGCCCGGTAAGGTTTCTAGCTTGAAATTTATACAGAATATTCTGCTTATAGAGTAGAAAAATCCACGAAGTTTTCATTACATGTGAGGTTGGTCGCTTTCAATTTGTTTCCACACTTGCATTAACCACCGAGTAATATTTGATCCAAGGGGCTCTCAAAACTTGAAGAGTCGTTTGATCTCATGAACTGTAATTTGAAAACCACCTGAATTGTTATCTCGATGGCTAAAGTGTGAAACCACATATCTTCGTTTGCGACTTCGGAAAACTGGTCAACGTAATTTCTTGTAAGTATCCTTGTAAGTATTCTCGATTTTTCTTCTCTGGTAGCAGAATACTCCATAGAGCTTTCAAGTTATATATTTGACTTGTTTCTCTCTACAAAAATAAGATAAGAGCAAAGATTTTGAAACACTATAATGGATATACATGGTTTCACACTTGAGCCATCGATCTTATTGTATGTCTCTCCCAAGTAGCACAGTGCAACGAAAATATCGAAATCAAATTGCAATTTGATTTCAATAAAATTGTAAGTTTTTTTTACCATTAAATTGCAATATTTTTACATCGTTTAGTCGATTTATTCCGATTTGAAACAATCAACAAAATGAGCTTCATGTTTCAGATAGATAGGCAATAGACAATGCAATGAAAAATTGCAAATTCTTTCAATTTTACTGAAATAAGTTTCAATAAATGGGGAAGGAGCCGGAGCCCCCCCTAGGTTACCCCTTCAAGTAGGAGCTGGGCAACATACACAAAACTCAGTGGAATTGCAATATTTTTACCATGCAATTGCTGCTTATCGGTGCTACTTGGGCTCAATGCTAGTTGATTAAAATGAACACTTACTTTGAATGAGTCCTTCCTGAGGGCCTGGTCGAGGAGCCCGAGGACCTTGAACTTGATGCACGACACCCCGTCATTCTCCCGAGCGCACTCTAACCTCAAATCCTCGACGACGGCGTCCATGGGGGTCCCGCTCCAGACGGAGTTGCTCTGGGGGGCAGAGGGGAAGCCTTGCGCCGCCACGACCCCCAAACATAGGACCACCCAACAGAAGCCTTTACGCACCGACATCGCGACAAAATCCAAAAGCCCTGCCTAACGTCAAAACACTGAATGAGTTCACCGCTGGGCGCGGGGGTTTTATAAGTGTTCGATTTAGTGCTCGGCGCTCCGCCCACCCGGCCCCCGGGCGGCTCCGCCTGAATCCCAATGAATCTGCAATTCCCGCACGTTGTGACCCACAATGCACCGCCGCCAGACGGACCCGCCGCTCGCCACCGGACGCGCGAGAAGGGGAAAGTTTTGGCACTCACCGTTGTGCTTTTGGTTTTGGTTTTAATTGAGCCGCCGCTCCGTGAATTTGAATTCCGTCGCGCCGCCCGGACCGCGACCGAGACCGTGGGGTGAAATGGGACCTCCAGCAAGGTCGCCGACGTAGGGTCGCTTCACGGCTGCCGAGACATTACACTGGAAAAAGAAACACATTGGATCTAGAGTCCAGACTCTTGGAAACATTGACAAGAACAAATACTCTTGATTCAATCGGATTTTTGCTTGAATCAAAACGAAATCCGCTTAAATTAAGAGGCTTGATTCTTGATTTAAGCTAGATTCTGATTTAATCAAGAGTGCTTTTTCTTGTCGATGTTTTTAAGAGCCTGGACTCTAGATCTAATGTGTGTTTTTTTCCCAGTGTTTACCATCTTTGGGGCACGCTTTAGATTTTACAACAACAGGTCGCAAATCGACGGTCTAAATCGACGGTGTTTGGAAATCTCTGCTCTTTTATTATTTTTTTAAAGGAAAGCAAATCGACATCAGTCCTTGAAGTTTTCGCCAAATTTTCTTCGCACTGAGAAGAAAAATCACGGCAGTTTTTAAGCATTACCGTTGAGTGGTTTTCCATTTAAATAATAAAGTATGACAGGAGGTCTGCGACGTTGCAAACCGAAATACGTGGTTACGGACTTTCACCGTCGAAATGTCGAAGACATCCAGAAGCGCAAATCGTCAATTCGTACTTTTTGATAGTGGCTCGTTCGCGCAAATGATAGTATGGTTTTGGGGCGTCAGAGAGGCACAGAAAGGAAGGAGAAAAAAATAAGAGGTCAATATGCTAACCTGACACAAGATTAGGTTGGGTTAGGTTAGGTTGGTTTCCACGTTTGCGCTTTTGGACGAGTAAGTAAGTTTGAATGTTGAGCTTTCGGGCACTAGCGCTTTTAGATTGTATCCCGCAAATGTACGTGGTATGATTGGTATGGTCATGTTCAGAGAATGATAGGAGACAGATTGTCGAAGGTGGTCTTGGATTGGGTCCCTCCTGGGAGAAGGCGCAGAGGGCGCCCATAAAGCAGGTGGAGGGATCAAAGAAAAATGTCAAGGTACTCGACTCTTGAAGGGTTGTGGTTCTATAAAGGACAATGGCGGTTAGGTGTCGTAAAACGCCAGGGACACCTATAGAGCGACATGTGTATATATGCAGATCGCAAATGTTCGACTCGGTAAAACAACTTGAGTCTATAAGGGAGTTACGTTGCAACCTGTTGCTACGACGAAAACAGGAGTTGCTTCTTGATCCCTCAAAAACCACGAGGGGTCACCCAAAAATGATATTAGGTACTTTTATTGACAAGAACAGTCTGAACGTACCTTTTTTTATTTATTTATTTTTTTAATTTTTACTTTGATGTGCTTTTACCCAAGGTGGTGTCTGAAAATGAGCCCGAGTCCTGTCTTTTGGTCCAGCATGCGAGAGAATATGGCTGGAGGTACCCATTGAGTGTTAAAAATGATACAAGAGGTACCTGATAGGTGTATGGTTCCGGAGGATGAGGAGGGTTAAAAAATTTTAAAAATCAGTTGAAGATTTTATAATGAACGATCCCTAATTAGTTTACTGGCAAAGTTTGTAATTAACCTTAAAATTTGCGTGGAAAATTCATCCTCTCTTTAGCTTTTCGCCTTTATACGTATATCTTTCAAAAGATGAACCTGGTAACACAAAGATATGAAAGACCGTGGCTCGAGGACTTTGCTTCAAACTGCCACCCTGCAAAGGAGCCCCAGCCTCTAAAATGGAAACTCATTTTTAAGATACCTCCTTTTGTTAACCACCCATTGTTTCTTAATTTGCTAATTGCGTTTGATAAGAAAACATTTTTTGGGGAAGAGGGGGAGGTGGGTTAAGGCGCATAAAAAAATAGAGGCAATTTTAAGTTGTATGTAGCTTTTGAAATAGAAGAGAAGTTTTTACTCCTCTCATCATCAACTGACCCATTGATCAAAATGCTAGGAGAAACGAGTGTACATATCAAGTAAATTGAAAAAACTAAATTTATTCAATGTAAAAATCATTAAAAAGTATCGCACCAGACAATAATGAAACAGGCAGGAGAAAAACACAACCTTTCTCAAGCTATATTGATGAATGAATTTCACGCGTCTGTCATTTTCCGAAGAGAATGACTATGCATAAAATCTAATACGCTTTAAAATCATTGAATTAAAATTATTTCTGAATCCGTACATCCACGTATTACGGGATTAAATCCTTATTAGTGGTTAAATTATCGGAAACAGCCTTCCTCATTTGTACTGAAATGAGCATGTACGTTGATGTGATACCGAGTACCTGAAATCAAAAAAGACTTTGAAAAGAAGGATTTTGAAACTCTTTTAATTTCGTTCGCTGTGCACGGAACAAGAAAATATTAGTGGGTACTAGACTATCGAGGAATGTATTCTCCCTAAGGATCAAGTGGGCGGCTCTAAAATCCTAGGAATATATGCATCTTTATGATTTCTTGTGCATAGTAAAATCCCTGCATATCATTGCATTTATCTCCTGATAAGTTTCTCTCACCACACTGCAATCTCAAATTGTCACTGTAAACTTCTATGCGTGCGGAATTTGTTTTCAAAATAGAATTCGTACCTCATTTCTTTTTTCTTTTTTCTTTCCAATTTTGATAACTTTGAATGCAGTATAAAAGGGCCGCCCGGTGCCGGTTTGATATCATTAACTATAAAACTACTTCATCTTTCATTTACATGAAGAGGGTAGGTCTTTTTGCTCTAAACCCATACACACTTTACACGAATCATGTCTTCAACGTGATTTAAACCAGGGAATATAGAGAATGACCTTCGGAAAATTACTTTTGTCAAAACTAATTACGAGCTCAAAATGAAGAATTTAACGTATATTTAATGCTCTTTAAGTTCAAAAGAATCACTGAGGATTAAAGTCTTCTATTTTTTGCAAATGGCTTTAAAAACTTTGCATTGCAAGGCAACGCTGGGATGAAGACCTTTTTTTACTAATGGCTCTTCGACGGTGGCGAAGCGTGGATGATCGTACATCGATATTTCCACATTAGAAGCTATAGTACAGAATCGATTATGAGGGTTTTCATTGTGAACACTCTGTTTATCGATCCTTTTTCATAGGTTCAAATGGCGCATCAATCTATGTATCGCAAAGCACGCCATGCCACCACTCTTCAAATAGTCGACGGAGAGAAGACGAGACCTCCCTAAAAATTTTGCGTTTGTTTATATTGGAACAAAAACTTCTTTAATCGGATAGTATCTGCCTCTAAAAATACCCATAAGATTTTGTGTGTTTAAATATACGCACGGAGGTCAACAGCGACAGTCTCAGTTTCATGACATGCGTAGCTACAAAGTCGAGAATTGTAAGCTTTTGACGAAATACGAAAGTTTTCAACTGAAACATAATGTAAAAAATATTAGTTTTCAGTATTCACTCAACGAGTATTAAGAAAATTGCACTCAGTATTTACCTTTAGATGCCCAAGACTTCATTCATACGCAAAGTGCCAAGTCAGGCCAAATTGATCCGTTACATACATTGAAACATTGATTTTGATACTTTTTGAAGTTTTATCTATGTCATATCCATGTTTTTGAAGGCAAGGAATACTTTATTGAAATTTCCGACTTCTTAGTAACATACTGGCACTTTCTCACCTCCTCCTCATCCGCTGTGTGTAACACGCCCAAAAAGATAATCGGGCCGATTTGACCGAGCCTAGGTATTTTTAGAGGAAGTCGTAAAAAAAATCCCTGACTTAACACGACTTTCGGGCAAATGCCAATTTTCAGACGTGCGTCCCTCAGGGAGCTTGGGAGGCATGTTTTCCCTTTTTTTCAAATGATAATCATTTGGTCACATTATAGCTTGTTTTAGCAAAATGAATCTTAACAAGTCTCAAATTTCAAATATAATGGACTCATTAACATGCGTGGATGACATCGTAGAGATACAACTATTCGTGCTTCATGGATGCCCGTGTTACGTCTGCAAAATTGAAGGCGCGATGCGTGAACTCGCATTGCTCCGTTCTTTGCAGGCAGTAAGGTATAGCTCAGATTCAGAGGAAAAGTTACAAAACGAGGCCCAAATACGTCTTTCATATCTTCGGCTGTGTTGATAATCGATTTTCTTCTTCCTATCTTTCAACTTGATGCCTAGTTCATTTTCACGATGTTTTGTAGACCTAAATCTACAGATTGTGTGGACCGGCCCCTTCCAATACCCGCGAGCTACTTGTTTTTTGCATGTCTTGTCTTGTGTCTTTGACCTGACTTCGGCAGCTAAAGGTTAACCGAAAAATTCCTTATCGATGGTCTGATGTTAACGACTTAAAGCTTTTCAAATCTTCTTCGTGGCTGTGGTCCCTCTGGAGGAAAGGTTTGAATGTGATCGCAGTCAACCGTTTAAAAAGAAACATAAAGTCGAAGTATTTTCATCCTTACTTTAGAGAGGTGAACCAAAAAAGCATGTTTGGGCTGAATTTTCCAAATTCGAAAATTTAGTGAGGTTCACCCTCACTTCAACATGATATTAAACTGAGTCATCTTTAAATAGTTGTAGTCTTTTAAGAAATTTTTGATTCATTTCTGCGAGAACAATCAACGAGAGAGTTGCTGGGGTGGTAGGTTTCAATTGAAAGTTTGTATTATTTACTTTTGAATTTGAAGTTAATCTTTGGATTGAGGGTTTCACAGAGTGCCCTCAAATGAAAGCCTTGAATACGACTAGTTAACAAATGTCAGACTCAAGAGCTTCTGTACCTCCTCCAAA